TTACGTTTTACGACAAATCGTTAAACAATAAATTAAGTAAGTGAATGTTATCAAGTCATTTTTTTTTATCTGATAAATTTTAATTCATCATTGTTAACATCGTTTGCGGAAAGCAGTTACGTTGTTTGTAGCAACAAAATCGACAGTGAATAAAATTCTTTTTTTTCTCTCTTTTTTTTATTGAATAAAAATATTTTTTTTCAGGCAGGGAAGCTAATATTGGGCTTGCTTTATACTGACCCTGAATTTGCATTGAGTTTTTTTATACTTACAATTACATATCTTTTATTAATGAAACGTGTGTATATATGTATTTACCCATTTATAACGTTCAAAACTGCGAACTTTAGATTTATTCAATGAGAGTACATTTATTGTGAGTAACGTGTAGTAGTACTTTAATGGTTTTTAAATTTTAATGTTTTACGACTTTTGATGTAAAACATATTCACATCGTTTTATGGAAGGGTCATTACACTGCATAACATCGTTTTATTATGTTTGTGGTTATCGCAACATTAAATTCTAGAAATGTCGACTATCCAGTTGCAATAAAAAAGTAGGTAATGTATATTTAAATACGTACCTATGTCTGCAGAAAAAAGGTACTTGTGGTTTTTCTGTGACATAAAAGAATTCTGTTTGTATAATATGGTAATTAATCATCTGGAAAAGTTAGCATTTGTGGTTTTTACATATGATACTTTCCCTCTAAATACCTACTTTAAATTATTATTAGTAAAGGAACTGTAAAGTGCTTTAAAGGTGCAATCATAAAAATATTCTTAGTGTACTTTTTAATTAGTAATTGTATGTGATATCTGTAAACTTTTAATTTGTTGGTGATATTTTTAGAAAATGGAGCGTAATAGTTTCCATAAATTACTCGTTTATTACATTTGTACACATTATATAGTTAATAGCTCTGGCGATATTAAAGTTTTATTATTCCAGCAGCATACTTATAGCTAGAAAACCTAATTATACACATCTGTAAAAATTAGAATTAGTGCATAAAAAGAGTAAATATTCCATATTATTTTTTGTTAGTAACGATAATGTCAAGGTATGTATGACGTAAAGTTGGCAGCATTTCTTCATTAAAAAAAACTGCTTAAAAAAATAATTCGATAGTAAAAATCCAATTATTGTGTATTCTTGCTCATATAATAATTGTGCAATTAGAAAATGTAATGCCGATATATACATAAATAATTTCAGTGCTACATTTTAAACCGTAAATACAAAAAGAGGCACTTCAAATAAAAACTAAACGTTATCGATGAATATGGGTCAAAAGTGTATGACACCACGTTAAACATCAATTTAGTTTGTTTTAACATACATACATGTGTATGTATTATACAGCGTGCTCCAAAAGTACTCAATAGGCCCACTCAACCAAAAATTACTTTGTTGAACTTATAGTTTGGACACGCTGTATTATTTTATGTAATCAATGGAATTTTATTTTTCGAATACATAAACGTTTGTGGAAATTCCCTACAATAAAACTATAGTTTAGTTTATTTCGGCTATATTTTCAAGGTGAACTGATTGGATAGTTAATAATTGAAATGGAACTAAAGGAAATTTCTTGTAATTACAATTAAATGTGGTAATATTTTTTCAGAAAATTTCCAAACAGTTGACACAAATACTTCGACAACTCAGCGATTCGTCGACAGATCTTAAATCAATATTGGCATCAAAAATCCCAAAGGAACAAGAACGTATCAAAAATTTCAGGAAGCAACATGGGAACACTAAAGTTGGTGAAGTTACCGTTGACATGGTAAGTATTTCAACAAAGCACATTTAACATTAAGAAGTTTGTCCACTTTTCCTATACTTACCAACCCAATCGTATATTAGACATAGGTACTCTATATGCAGATATTTATATATTTTGGACTCCTTCTGATACTAAACATAATTATATAATTAAAGTATAATATAAGTATAAAGTAAATTATATAATTACTATTTTGTTAATTCAATCACATAAATGAAATTATAAGTATATTGAGAATCTTATTTTTTTGGCCACGGTCATAAAATACGTTTGCAATTAAGTGGGAGAAGGGGGTATTGCTTAGCGTGAGGAGATATGACAAGGGGGTAGGAGGAGTCAATTTTATTCTTATTTTCTTCTTCATTTGGCAGTTCTTAAAATTTTTCATTATGATCGAAAGTCATTCTCAAGTACTTAAAAGCCTGCAAATTAATATACGAATAGTAAAAAATTAATGTGTCAGATTGTATTAACTTGCATGCATTTTTAATTACTATAAATCGTTTATAGGAAGGTGGGCTAGCTTTTATGATGTAAGATTTGTTGGGTGTATTGTTGAGTGTGACTTAGCATGACCAAGGGGGGGGGGCAAAATACTGAATGAAGTATTTTATAAACGGCCTACTCCTAAAAAATTTTATTTTTGTATTAATTGAATATACGTACACCGTTTAGTTGCATTTTTTGTAGTTGTATTGTTATCTCATAAAGTCCGAGCCTGTAATAATAATGTTTTGCTGCTTCTGCACATGATTATTATTATTTATTATAGCAATCTCTTATCACTTTTCATGCGAATGGCAGTGTAGGTTGGTTACAATCATTTATTTATTCATTCAGCTCGATTCGTGTGTGCGTTATCAAATGATCGGGATATCCTAACCGTTGCGACATTGAAAATCATACGAGCTGGTGGGTGACCTTTGAAAAGCAAAACCGATGCGTTATTTCACATTGATGATAAAATATACTACATATTTGTATGTTAATGTTAAACGATCTGTTGGACGTCTACCAAGAGCGTGAAAATGCCAAACAACTTACAGCGCTGTTTGTATGTACCTGCACCTTTGTATAGTCGTACTACTCGTGCGCTCATGCTATGTGGTGACCTTGCTTAAATATACAAAAACGTACACGTACTTTAATGATAATGAAACTAATCGTAAAAGTAATTTCTTATACACAACTAAAAAATTATAATTAAGGCTCTTGATCCTATCATGCGTTCAGAAATAGTTAATTTATGTATGAAACATACGCAAAGTATTTCATGTACCTAATAAACTTTTCTCGCATATACGGTATGTCCCAAGAGCGTTATTCTATGCTATGACACCATAATTTAGAGCACACTTAAATACTTGATAATTGTCTAGATGATGGGACCGTCGCTTGGACAGGGGTGGTAGGGGAAAGGGGGTAGAGCGAGGTCCAAGTACTTCATCCCTATTAATAAAAAGTGGGGGAGGTGGAGTGGAGGCGGGAGAGGAGGTAATAAATGTAATAAATTACATTTGCTTTGTTAGATCTCATGATCAGTGCCTAATTGGTTATTAATTAAAGTGTTAATAAAGAATTACTCTTCGCAAAAAATTAATAACTGAATTAGCCAATTTTTTTCAACTACAGAACGTTTTCTTAATTTTCTCTCGGCTAGAAGTGCAGGTTATCATTTATTAAAATGTTATCAGTATTAGCCCATTGTACGTGCCTTATTTTTTGGCTTGCCCTGATAAAATGTATTTGAATACGTAACTTCTAAGTATATTAAGGTGTAATAGATAAAATGCATAACAAATCTGCACTTACAATCTAACTTTTTATTTATAATTTAGAATTTATATTCAATTCGTTGATAAGCATGTATTGTTATCATTAAAGTACTTACGTATCTACATATGGGCTATTTTTATTAGTAGTAAACATTCAACGGTACCAAATAAAAGCCAATATGTATATTAATTGGTTATTTTTAATTTGAATTTGATCTAAAGAAGGCTTTATTGAAATCATTATTACAGTAGATACAAAGAGGGTATTACTATTGACTTGTTTATATGATTTTAAATTAACAGAACGAAACAAATCACAAATGTTCTCTGTTAATAAAATTATTTTATGAAGTTTGTATTATTAAAAATACGATAATAACAATGATTGCATATTCATTATAGTAAAATTTTAGATGTACGGTGGTATGAGAGGTATTAAGGGTCTCATTTGTGAAACTTCAGTGCTAGATGCAGATGAAGGCATCCGATTTAGGGGTTACTCAATCCCAGAATGTCAAAAACTTTTACCAAAAGCCCCTGGAGGTTCGGAACCATTACCAGAGGGTTTGTTTTGGCTCTTAATAACTGGCGATGTACCGACAGAAGCCCAGGTTTGTCTATCATTAATTTTATGTTGGAATGATATATAAAAATATTTATAATTTAGGTCAAAGCCATATCCAAAGAATGGGCGAATCGTGCAGAGTTACCATCACACGTTGTCAGCTTGTTGAATAATTTACCGTCAAGTGTTCATCCCATGTCACAATTGTCGGCAGCAATCACAGTACTCAATAGTGAGAGCAAGTTTGCCAAAGCTTATTCCAGTGGCGTACACAAAACGAAATATTGGGAGGTAAGATGAGATTATATTTTATTTTTTTTTATTTCCGGTAAACTGACTTTTTACGTTAAGACCACTTATGAAGACAGTATGGACCTGATTGCTAAACTCCCTGTTGTGGCAGCTACCATTTACAGAAACAGCTACAAAGATGGTTCTGGAATTGGTGCTATTGACACTTCGAAAGACTGGAGCTACAACTTTACTCAAATGCTAGGCTTCAACAATCCCGAATTCATTGAACTTATGCGATTGTATCTTACAATTCACAGGTACAAAGAATGTACACTATGAATGCTTTTATATTTTGTCACATATAATGAATATTCTTCTTTCTAGCGACCATGAAGGTGGAAACGTTTCTGCACATACTGTTCATCTCGTAGGCTCAGCATTGAGTGATCCCTATTTATCCTTTGCTGCTGGATTGAATGGTTTAGCTGGACCTTTGCACGGACTTGCTAATCAAGAAGTGAGTAGAAATATTAATTTGAATTGAATTAAAAATTGAATTCTACTGACATGTACAAGTACAAAACAAAACAGAGAGCACAACCTTTTGAGGGTGAACAGGCATTTAACACTAGGAAATAAGTAAATAGTTATTTACATTACATTACCCAATGCTCGTTAGTGGTATATCCTTTTTCATGGACTTACCACCTCCAAAACATTGGGAAATCAAATTGTGTTGAAATGAAATCATTTGATACTTTCTGTTACTATTGGTATCAAATATAAGTTTTAATGCACAATACTTTTTTTATTTTTTCTTCTAATACTTCTTTTGTTGTCTTGCAAAGTATAAAGTGATTTTTACATGCTTAGGTGCTTGTTTGGCTTGAAAAAATCCGAAAACAAGTTGGAGATGGCGCAACTGAGGAGCAACTGAAGGAGTTCATTTGGAAAACTTTGAAATCTGGACAGGTTGTTCCAGGTTATGGACATGCTGTACTTAGAAAGACCGATCCAAGATATACTTGTCAACGAGAATTTGCATTAAAGCACTTGCCCAACGATCCCGTATTCCAAGTAAAATCATTTTGTTTTTTGTGTGTATATTGTACAACTAATGTATTTTCTATTTTTATATTTTTAGTTGGTGTCTAAATTGTATAAAGTAATTCCCCCAATCCTACAAGAAACTGGAAAGGTGAAGAACCCCTGGCCAAATGTAGATGCTCACTCTGGTGTACTTTTACAGGTAACAGTCCTTATATTTATTCAAAGAGTTCAGTAGCCTGCATAAGAAACTTTGTTAATGAGATTCTTTTCAGTATTATGGTCTCAAAGAGATGAACTATTACACTGTGTTGTTCGGAGTATCGCGAGCCCTCGGTGTTTTAGCATCACTTGTATGGGATCGTGCGTTAGGTCTGCCCATTGAAAGGCCAAAATCCATGTCCACCGATGGACTTATGAAGAGCCTGGGTGCAAAATGAGACAGGCAGCTTGATTTGCAACCCTTTTAATGAAATTGCGTACCTTGTAGAAATTTACCCTGTATATACATGAATACGAATGACATTACTTCTTAATATCATCTGGTCAATAATTCCATTACGTCGTGACTTAAATATTCACTAATTGATAGTTGTTATTATTAGAAGATTATATCAGCTAGTCGTGCATCATTTTAACTATCTTCTGTTTTATTATTATTATTTTATTATTTTTTTCTTTTTAAACATTTTAACGCATGTACAGATTTATTGTTCGTACACAATCAGTTAGTGTATAATTTATTATTACTTAAATTATTCATTCAAAGTAAATAAACATACATAAAAATACATCAATTTTTCGATGTAAATTAAAATTGTATAAAATTATTTATATTCTATAGTGTGGCTTCTGGAAAATTGACAATATAAACTTTTAGAATATTCGCATTTATTGTAGTTTCCTTCGACAAACCAATTGCTTATACTTTCAATAGAATGTAGTACTTTCAAATGTATGATAATGTTACAAATCAATGCTTTAATTGAGAAAAAAAAAATTGGAAAGTGTTATATATAATTGTATGAAAGGCATAAGGCTTTGTTAAGAGGACCAACGTTTGATCTAAGACGAACCAACGGTAGTAAGTGCCTTCGCGTACGTTAAATTTGATAAAGAAAAACATTTGCGTTTCCCGAAGAGCACGAGAGACTAACAGAGAGGATCCTAAAAGTAGACAAAAAAAAAGTTTTGGTAAGTAGACAAAACCTGGCTACCAGTCTTAAGTAATGCTACTGTCATGCCCCCACACTGCATAAAGTCATGCGCAAACAAGCGAAACCTGTTCCACTTAGAGATACAGTTCAAAGATGTCTCCATAATATTACTTAGGTAACTCAAATCACATACACATGTAGTCGTCACACACACGTTTTTTTTTTCATTTTGGGGATAGAAGGAGCGCATTTTTGATCATAAATCAATTAGTAGGAGGTTTAGAGGTTAAATAAAATACGAATTGTTTAAATGGAAATCCTTTTTGTGTTGCGTTATACTTTATTTTAAATTCTTTTTACAATAAAAAGTGTTTTCAGATTTATTTTATTTGGAATAGATAGATGCAACTATATCCAACAACTTCGTCAAATTTCAGTAACAGTAGTTGTTGAAATAATCGGTTATGACAAACACATATGAATTCTCGCAGTAAGATTTCCGTTTTTGCTTATTGTTATAAAACTAAAAATAAAATTATTTCACCCAATTAATATTTATAATATTTAACGTAATATGCAATGTATTTTTGACAATGTAAGCGAAAACATAATTATTGTTTCCGGCTGTTACTTTGGTCTAAATCCATTTCGTCGTCTCCTTCGTAAGTATCAGACTTTGCTTGTGAGTAACTCTAAGATATAAAAGATAAGTTAGAGGGGAGGTTTGCAATTTTTCTAACTATATTTACTTTTTCTGCTGTCTTTTTTAACTGCTTAGCCATCGATGTTCCCGTTTTTAATACCAGTTGAGATAATAAACCATCACTATTTTGTAATAAAATGTGAGGATGATCAAATTCCACAACATTACCAGCATCCAGTACCAAAATCTAAAATTGCACGTCATATTGTATATGTACTTGTGCATATTGAAACTAAAATCTGCTTTTGAGTAATTGTGTCCAAAGTTTTAAATATAGTTTATAATAAGTTAGAAGTGATTAATAAAATGTGAACGAAAATGCAATTGAAGGTTTGTTATGCTTGAAATGACAAACTCTTTCTTTGATGCAAATTATTTATTTATTAAAAGTAAAATTCGTAAACATAATATACTTGGAGTAACTATTTTAATTTCAACCAACTAAAATTGTTTCCTCTTAAGGAAGGGGGTCAAGACGACTACTAAACCCCCCACCCCATTCGTACTGACGCTTGATCTCGTTTCGTATAAAATTATATGCCTAATTAGGAATCAATTTTCTCGAATATTTCACGTGGAAAGGGTATTATGAACTTACTCGATCAGAATCCATAACAGTAGCAAGTCTATGTGCAATTGTTAAGACGGTACAGTGCTTAAATTTTGTCCTTATAGTTTGTTGAATTAAAAAATCTGTCGTAGGATCAACGTTAGCTGTAGCTTCGTCCATAACGAGTATTTTATTGTTTCTTACAATTGCTCTTGCTAAGCAAATCAATTGTCTCTGTCCAACGCTTAGGTTTTGCCCTCCTTCTGATATTATTAATTTTAAACATGCTGAAAGGCAACACACAAGAAGGAATTGTAGTTCTACATCAAGCAATATAAATACAGAGTGGCCCAAAAAGTACGCAATATGCTCATCGTAGCCAAACGACAAGTTTAATCCAAAAAGACAAAAATTTTTCAAACAAAACTTGTTCCCTATTTCAAAACAGTTTCATTTGGTTTACTATATAAATTGTTCAAAAATTAAAGAAAGTTATAAGGAAAAGCTGTGAAGAATTCTAAAATATGGGACTATGCAAAAAATCGCAACGACTTTTGCATATTGCAAACTTTTTAGAATACGTGGTACTGGTTTACACATGCTTTTTCATACAGGTTTGGTACAAAAACTGGATTTACAACAAAGCCAAATAAATGATGTTTTTATTTATTACCGGCACCATTTATTACTGCGACTTTGATTTCTACGTCAACAAGCGCTGCAACAAGTAGACCATCGTGGTACTCATCAAACGGATCTAAATTGTATCTTAAGGTACCAGAAAAAAGAACAGGTTCCTAAAGGCATGGTGTAAATGACATTATTTTCAAAATACAATTCGTTATTCATATAAGTATTGTAATCTTATCCTTTTTAGGGTTCCGTACTTGGAAAAAAATAACGGAACCCTTGTAGAATCACTTCTTTGTCGGTTTGTCTATGCGTCAAAAGTATCACTGATAAACAAAATCTAAAGAGCAAGAACATTCAATAACTTGAGTTCGGATCGTTAAATTTGGATTGAAGGAACTTTTTATGCTATAAAAAAACTTGGAAATCATAAATTAGTATGTTGTTATAGGCGGGCCCATCGGGCTAAGATGGATACTAGCGATACTTTGATATTCTAGACTGAGTATTCGATAACTTTGTAAGTACACAGGAGGTATCCCACAGGACACAATCGATATTAAGGCGAGTGATAAAATGTACGAGACCCTTGACACGGAAGTTAAGTTTACATTTGACAAATTCTTTAAAATTAAATATGCCCAAACGAATACCTGTGGAATAATTGAAATTTTTTTTCTTAAATCGTGAAGGCCCATTTTGCTAATGTCAATACCATCAATTAGCAATAATCCTGATTCGTATCCTAGTCGAAATAAGGACGAAATTAGAGTAGACTTTCCAGCCCCAGTTCTGCCAACGATACCAACCTAACAAGCAAAATAGTCGTATTGCATCAACTGTAATTGTAATAATAAATTAATATAAAAACCTTTTCCCTGGGATGGATTGTAATGTTGAGATTGTTTAAAACCGGACTTCCTACAACATCGTATCTTAAACTAAAATTTTGAAATTCTAACTTCCCATATTTTGGCCAGGAAGGAGGAGGCTTTTGATCTGGGGTCTAAAGAAGGTTCAGGTAAGAATAGAGTAGGAATTGGAATATTTAGGAGTAATTAATAAATCAATATGTTTTCTTACTGATTCCAATGGTGGTTCTTGTTCAACCTCATAAATGAATTCTAGAACTCTTTCGACTGATGTCATATGACTTTCCACTTCTGCTGACTGTCTCATACCCCATTGGAACACCCCAATTAGTCCAATGGCTTGCGTAATTGCTAATCCAGTACTAGGTCCTTCACCCTCTGTAAATTAAAATCGAAGAAGAAGAAGTAGATGGAATGATATTTAGCGATGCGGGGAACAAAGGCAACCTATTTCCGTAAAAGTGTAGAACAGCGTAACTGTAGTAATATAACAGCAGCAAATTATATCAAGCCAATAACCAAAAGCCCTTGATGTGCTTAAAAAATAGAAGTAAGCACTGCTCTGTATATCCTGAAGTTCGTCAAACTCTTCCAATAAAATCGATTCTTTTCCTTCCGATCTTACCGTTATAAGCCCCTGAATTGTGGCATTGATGTGGGTAAATATGGGACTTCTAGCTAAAAATCGTAATTACTTATCAAACGACAGAAAATAAAATATTGAGTACGAAATTTTAGTCGAAAAAGTTGAGTGGCAAAATTCGTTCTAATGTGCTATTTTGGTAATATTAATAAAAAATAAACGGATGTGACGTAGATTAAAAAAATTGTTGCATCAGTACAAGATAATTTGCATGCAGATCATAATCCTTGTTTGGTATTGTAGCGACCACGAGCGTGATTGTGTGCGATCGGGCATACGTGTGTGTGCGCGGCTTATCGATTCGCCGACTAGCCGCGGGCGCTTTTCTTCATGTGCGCCGTATCTCTAAACGTGTGTGTCGTACCTGCGTTCCGGGAAAGCAATTAAACCGTTCAAAGAAAACGAGACTTCTCCGGACGGCAGGAGAATGTTCCCGAAAGAAGGCAAGGGAGTATAAAAAGGAAGAGACGATCGCCGAAGTGGAGTAGAAATAAATTGACCGTTGCAGAAGTGAATCAAGAAATAAATAGAACAGTGAATAGTAACAGTAGTGTAAATAAATAGAATAATTACCTAAGTTAGTAATAATTAGTAGAAATAAATAGTTTTTGTCGTTGTGAGTCTTAAAAGTTAATTTGTTAAACCCACGAACATTACAGTATAATGCGTTTTGTGGAACATATTGTATTTCTTCTCGCGTTAGTGATACAGGTACATTTTAAAAATGTATAACTTACTAATTGCATCCAGTCTTTTAACACTTCGACTAGTCCTCAAGTAATAATTTCTCAAAGCTATAAACATTACAATAACAAGGACTGTAGGAATAATCAGTAAATAATGGCAAACTCCGATAACTATAACAGCACCGACAAGATTCAAACAAATCTGGAAAAAAAGGGCAAGTTGAAGAAAAAATTATAAATTTTATTCTCTTATATGTATACCTGTATTGTGTCTATAAGAGAAGAAGGTAGAGCTTCATCTATCGCCCCTATGTCTTTCGAAAAACGATTTAATATTCGTCCTGACGGATTCGTGTGAAAAAAAGTCATTTTTGCGTGAAGTATACTAGAAAACATCCTGTCATGCAATCTAAGTTAATACGTATGTTATTAATTTCTTTTAACCAGTAATTTATTTAAGAAGTACCTTACTGCTGCTCTTATACAAACACTATAAAAAATGAATGATCTTGATATTGCAAACGTGGCGTCGCCCATAATTAGAATGAAAAAAACCAAAATGCAATCTTTTCTGGTTAAAACGTTCCAAAATCCTAAGGACTCGGCTGTTCCTAATGATGCTCTTTTTTCTTCTAATTGTGCCCTATGGAGACAATTAAAGAGTACATTAAGAAATAGCACATTATCCTTGACTTCTTAGACAAAATTTACTGTGCCAAATTGCCAAATACCTTAACTAAATGAGTCTCTTAAAGGTCACAAATGCTCAAAGTTAATTTAGTTTTTAATCTCATAGAAAAACTTTAATCAAACTTTCATAATTGGTATTACAAAGAAGTATTACTAAAATAATATACACGTTATTTTAGAAATAATACAAATTAAGTATTTACCAAATATATAGGTAACATAAATATTATACGATCAGGAATCTGATTTACTAGAAATTGTTCTATTTAAAACACACACACAAAATTATTTTTTAAAAACAGTACCAAGTTTTGGTCGGAAATACATTGAATTTATGCCGAATTCGATTTTATTAGGTTTCATCAGCACGCCGTAGGCATTTTCGAAAAATCACCGACCAAATTGAAGGTTCTTTACCATGTACCTTAACCAAATTAATAAGAACAGTATAAGCTAACTTGCTTTTAAAGATCTCCTTCAATTTGTTGGGTGGTTTAACAAGACTGCCTATGTCTAACATGATCTAATAATAAGATCGAAGTTGCAAAATTATCAAACGATCTTTCTAAAGTTTAATTTCTATTTGTATGCAGATTGGATACATAGATAGATATAATAAAAGAAAATACGACGTGTAATTATACAACACGCTACTGAAGTGAAACTTCTTCAAACACACCGGGGTAGGGGTTAAGGAATAGGTTTAATGGTATTATTTGTACACTATGAATTTAAATTTTACACTATACATGCCGGAGTTGCCTGTAACGAACGTTGCATTGAAGCGCGTTCACGGTTCAAGCGATCCCCACTACGAACTCGACTACGTGGCCGAGTTGAGGGGGGACATCCGTTGCATGATTTCGTTACATAGCAACTCGCATTAAACGGACTTACCCTACCGTGCGTAAAGAAGTTTCACTTCAAAAACTATAGCTGAAAATTATCTTTTTCTTCAGAAATTTTTCATCACTTTACACAAATTGCTGATTGATAAACTTGGAAAAATATTAAGAGACAGTCTGCAATAGGTTCCTATTAAGATTTCCCAAAGGGTTACTCAGATATGATCGTTTATTATTTTATGTGTAAATTTTGAATAATTTCTTACCATTTTGCGACAAACAAATCACAACCACTCGCGAAAAATTGTGTAAATAAAAACATCAGCGTGACTATCAATATGACACAGCAATTTCCTCCTGATTTAATGTATTCTTTGTAAACATAACTTCCCATTTTGCCATAAGTACGTATTTCATCGACTTCTTCCTGTTGATTGATTTTTTTATTTATTTAAGGTAAATGTAAAAAGTCGGCCAAGTGCGAATTTGACTAGCACACAAAACATTCCGTACCTTCCAGGTATTTTACATAAATAGTAACAATTTTCAAAACTATTTCTTTTGTTATAGTTGACCTCTAAAAGTTTAGAAAAAGCCTTTTTTGACATTGATCTTTTCACAATTATAGACTCCCTATAACATAATTTACATGAAGGTCTAGTCAGAGACATATTAGAGGCAGAAACAAGAGTTAGGAGGGGTAGAGGTAGACTTAGATTAGATTACTGTTCGCAAATAGTTAAGGATTGGGGTTGTTCTAGTTTTAGGGAAATGCGAATATTAGGTCAGGATAGGAAAGAGTGGAGGTACGTGTCCAACAGTCCAACCAGTCTTAGGACTGACGACCTTATGATGATGATGAAGATGATTTAAATTTATTTGTTTATTTTATAGAAAATACGGGCTTTAATGCAGTATAATTTTTATTTCTTAATTAAATTTGTTTAAAGCAACGTCAATTGGGTTCTTCACGTACTTTTACCTTTTTTCCATATTATTTTTGTATCAAGAAGAACCGTTCTAATATGTATATGCCAATTTTAAATTCAACTATAGGCTTCTTCTTGAAAGTAAAGTTAATAAATGCTAAATCACCATATTTTAGGATACGATTATGATGTTAAACAAAGTTAACTGCATGTGAAATAAAACTTATGCCGCGCTAAAGATCCCATCCTTACTAATATTATAAAAGCGAATGTATGTTTGTCGTCTTTTCACGCCTTAGGTACTCAACTAATTATCATGAAATTTTGTACACACATTGTCAGAAGTACAGAAAAGAACATAGGGTCTCTTTTATTTAGAAAAAATATTGTTTTCGAAGGATAGATAAAAAGTAGTTTTATGTGGTCCATTTCATGCCTTAACTACATACTCAGTCGATCATGATACATTGTAGAGACATTGTCAGGGGTACAGAAAAGGACATAGGGTGCCTTTCATTCAGAAAAAAATATTGTAGTCGATTTCACGCCTTAACTACCCAATTGATAATCATGAAATTTTGCAGATACATTTTCAGGGATACAGAAAAGAACATAGGGTACCTTTATCCAGAAAAAATATGCTGTTCCCGACGTATAGAAAAATTAGTTTTATGTGGTTGTCAATGATCTTTGACACGTATTTACGACATCAACACGAGCGAATCCGCAGGTAAATCCAGTTTTATAAAAAATATATAAATAATTACATCGTTGTATTGCATATAATTATTAACAGAAAAAGAAAAAGAACGATGAATTGTAATATCAATATTCATAAGAAGGGTTAGAAATCGTTTGGATCACTATAGCCGAATATGATTTCTTGAGAATGTCATAATAAATGATATTTGATTTTAAACGGAGTCTTTACATCCAAACTTTCCTACAGAGAATTTAATATGAAAACCAAACTTAACATTACAATTACTTCATATTAAGCGGTTGGTCAATATAGGCGGAGTCATAATAAACGAATTCCACTGTACTTTCCTATAAGTTTGAAAGTTCTATATCAAATATTTTTTGAAATATCAAGATATTGCTCTTTTAAGTGTTTCCAGTTTTCCTTTTGCAGTACGGAACCTCAGAAACAAGTTACCTAATATTTAGTATAATTATAATAATTTACTTACTGGTATAGAAAATACTACAATTGGCGTGATGAGCGCCATCTGTAGTACGATGCTACATTTGAGGATTACATATGCTTCAACAAAGTCCATTTAAAAATATGGATATCTACTTGTTGAAACGAATCCCGGCGTAGCTCACCTCAACGTGATAGGCACGTTACCATAATCTGTGTTCTGTCGGAGCTGCCTGCGACGCGCTGATGAGATCCAAAAAGATCGAAATCGCGATCCGCGTCTGGCAGTTTCGACAGAATACAGATCACTTCGAATTATTTTATTTACTTACTGGTATAATTGTTGAAGATTGTTTGCCAACTAGACTTAAACTACGCGGTTGAAGTCGTGGTTCGGGTGGTTCGGAGTAAGTTTCAGTAACGGGGACTGGCGTCGTGTGAAGTAATCGAGTGAAATTAATTCCAGACGATTCGAGTTCATTATAAGTCCCTCTGCCCAATATATTCCCATCCTCCATAACAATTACCTGCTGGGCACTTTGTAAAAATTGTAACTGATGTGTTACCAATACGACCGCTTTCGATTTTAAATAGCCCGTAATGCAATTTGTGAATAGTTGCAGAGCTACGTTAGGGTCTACCGCCGAAAGGGGGTCATCCAATAAATAAATGTCGGCTTTTTTGTAAACAGCACGGGCCAAATTAACCCTGGCTCTCTGACCTCCGCTTAAAGACGCTCCACGTTCTCCAACAATCGTCCTGTCACCAAACGGGAGTAGGGTGAAATCCCTTATCAGAGTGCATACCGTTACCACTTCTCTGTAACGGATCCTATCGAAATATTCACCAAAAAGTATGTTCGCCCGAACTGAACCTGAAAATACTTTTTATAAACTTACTGAATGAAACTTTTAACGTACAAACTGTGCTAGGTACTAGAGATTTTTTGCGAAGATGGTTATTTGGACAATAATATTAAGATAATACAAGAATATTTAGACAAAGGCCCTCGCCAAATGATACAGCTAAGTAAGTGCGGAAAATTTGATATTAACAAATTATTGTTACAAAATAAGTTTTGTCAATTTTGCGAGAAAATCATAAGTTAAATTTCGAATAAAAGGTAGAAGTAAAAGCTTTTGCTACCTTGATGACTTAAACCTCGATAACGTAATAACCTCTATAAACATAAAATTTTGTGTTTCCTTCCCCTAGGAGTCCAAAACCTCTATTACTTAAAATAAAAACCCTCTATAACTTAAACGAATAATTTGAGTATCGCACCTCAGTAAGCAGTGAAAACTGGTTTGAATCGGGAGAAAGTCTTCTATGTAAAAGATAAAAAATTGCTGATTTAGAAAAATGCTTGTTTACATGGTTTAGACTGTGTAGAAATATGTAAAAACATTAGTGTTAATTGACCTATACTAAAGGAAAAAGCTGTTTGCTAAATCACTGGAAATCCACAATAATTTTGAAGCTTAAACTTAAACCCTTAGTAAGTAAAAACCTCAATAACTCAAACTATTTTACGTTTTCCTTGGTCTTTATCTTATCGAGGTTCTACTGTATTCAGCCCTACCGATTTCTGATTTACTTGTGAAGTGTTGAAAGTTAGCAAATGTAAAATGGTTCGCACAATAACGCAGAAATATTTTCATTTTCTGCACAAGTGGCATGGCTGCTCCAGGTGTTTAGGGGTACGCGCCAAGAAAATGGTCCGTCAACCACACGACATTCTCCTCCTCAAATCTAAATAACGTTTTAAAATCTGATTCTCGTGATGTACGTTTTGATTTGTAGTATTTTATTGTACGTAAATGTACTATATCGGCCATAACGGGCACTACACTGGGACCACACAAGTAAAGATTATTTATACAAGTCGTTTTAGATAGATTTTAACACAAAAACGGTCCTACAAATACATCAATTTACGTTACAAGGATATGAGTTCTTCTGGTTTTAGGAAAACGCGGCATGGCCTAGAGGTCTAGACCATTGCTTAGCATTCGGGAGGACGCCGGTTCGATTCCGGGTCCGTCTGCCTTGGTCCAAGTTTTTCTGTGGTTTCCTTGGACCACTTAGGCAAATGCTGAGGCAGTAATATTCCACAGATAATCTTTCA